TTTTTTTTTTGCAACCGTCTTTCCTTAGCTCCCATCCCCGCACTTTGTCCTGACGATGCTTCTTTCTCTTTGACCTGTGTTCTCGTCCTTGGTCACAGGCTTTTGGCTCCTACTTCCTTCCGTTAAATAACCTTGAACTTACTCAGGGTCCCATCATCTGCTCTGTATTCTTCTCAATCCACATCCTTTCCTGAACCTCTGCTCAGAGATTCAGGCTCATATATAGCCTAAAATGAAATATTATAAATTGAATTTATTCTACACTCACCCACCAAACACACATGCATTCTCCTCTCACTACAGACATCATCATTTACCAATTCATCAAGGTCATAAACCTGACATTTGTCCTGGATTCCTGTCTTCATTTTGTCCTTGGTCCCCTTTAATTCAATCATTGTCCAGTTCATTTCATCTCCCAAATATTTCTTGAATTTGCAGTTCTCTTCATTTTCACTACTGCTGCTCTGGTTCACGTTTTCATCACCTCACGTCTGGCCTTATAAAATACCCTACTCCTGATTTGTCTCTCTGCCACTAGTCTTGTTTCTTCTCTAATCCATGCTTCACACTACTTTCAGAATAATCTACTAAATACAAATGCATCTCAGTCGCCTGGTCAGGAGTATCTAATGGCACATAATCGACCCTTTGCTTGGCATTGGCAGTGGATTATGGGAGAGGTCATTTGAGTGAGAAGGAGAGCAAAAAACTCACTTCCCAGCCCTTTGAAGTCAGGCCTGGTGATATATTGTGGGGCTTTCCTTAATGGCTCGTGTGAGATTTGTTTGACACGTTCCTTTCCCCCGGCATGGACCACCAGATGGACTGAGTGAGATCAACTCAGATCAGAGCCCCCAACCTGAAATAGATGTGATGTGCTAATGAGAAACAAACCTTTGTTGTTTTAGGCATTGAAAAAGATTTTTATATATGATTACGGAAAATTTCAAATATACACAAAAGTAAAGTGAAAAAAGAAAAAGGAAATTTTTTCTCAATCCTATTCTACTTAAAATCCTGCAAAGTCTCTGCTTTCCCATCAGGAAAAGCCCAAGTTTTTTATCTTGTCACACAGGCCCTCCGTAAGTTATCTCTTTTCTATCACATAGTCCTTGTTCCAGTGTGCTCCATAATATCTATTTATGCTCTATAATATCAATTTGATTGCTATTTCTCTTCAAACAAAATGTTTTTCATCTCTGTAGTCTTTGGTAATTTGATTTCCTCTGACCAGAATGTGGTACCCATCCTACCCCCTCCTACTCAGCAGTTTAGACTCGGATCACAGCCATCTCCTTCAGAAAGTGCTTCCTGACTCTCCTTCCTCCAAATTGGAGACGTCCTTCATCTACCCTCCCACAGCAACCTGCACACGTTACAGCATTTCTCATTGAAAACATCGGTTTGATAGATAAATGGCAAGCAGTGGGATATACTGGAGCACATGAGGAAGACATTTGGGGTAAAACTAATTCAGCCTGAGTTTGTTTTTCCAAAAGGTCCTATTGCCTGCATTGTGTATCTGCTTTGCGTGTTCCAAAGAGAAGAGTAAATGCCCTTAAGATAAGGATGCAACTTCCCTCACACTGGCATTTCCTTAAGGATAAGCATTTCTCCCTAGGCTAGGATTTGATTGTTGCAGTCATTCTGGGACCACCCAGCTCGAGACAACAGACCGCACACCAGCCACACCCATCGAGACAGCAGACCTGCTCCCCGATGTGTCCATCAATAGCTATTCTGGCAGGGCAATCTAGCAGGACAATCTTGTGGCTATTGTAAAAGGGACATTGTAATCCTATGTGATACATGCTCTTTGACGGTATATAACAGCTCTGTACACCCCACTTCTTCAGTGCCCTTCCTTGGGGAAGGAAGGCCCCAGGCTATGGTCCTCAAAAGTTGGCTCATAATAAACTCACCCCAATTTTGATTTATAGATTGATTATGGATTATTTACGTCGACAGGTTCGTGAATGTCTTCCGTACAAGAACTTCACCTCCTTGAAAGAGGGAACTGTGTTATGTTTACATCCCCCAATCCTAGCCTGGTTCATTCAATCTACTTTAATAATTCTTTGGCCTGAATTCCTAATTCCTATCTTATATACAATAATTTAGGAAGACTGGATAGCAGAGTCATGGCCTAAGCTTCATACTGTGCCTCCTGTCAGAGGCAGGTTCTGTCTTCTCTCTTTCTTGCTTTTCTCCTTATACTCACCTCCCCCTCAGCCTCTGCATCTACGTCTTATTCCACATATGGCCTTCTCCTTGGTTTACGGCAAAGGTTAGAGTCTCTTCCATTCCTCAAATTTTCTTAACAACTTGGTTGGCTCAGACTGAACACTCTGATATTGGGGTGGCAGCTCGTATCTTATTTCAGTTCTTTAATCCTTGTCCGGGTTGCTTTGAATCTGCCCAACACATAGATATTTAAGAATCATTTGGAGACTTGTGTAGAATTTATACACAAAATTTGGGGTCCCTTTTTTGCTGTCTCTAGTCTGATCTTCCCTTTTCTCTCCTTTTTCAGTAGACATGATTGCCCCATACTCTCTTTACTGGCTCCACTGGCTAGATGGCTGTGGACTTTAAAAAAAAAAAAATCAAAGGTTTAACTGCATTGCAGGGATGCTGACTGCAGACTTCTCTCAGGCAGCAACCTGTGAAACTGGGAGACTCACCTAGCTCCCTTGTCTTCTTTCAATTAAATACTCCCACCCAGACTCTGCATGCTGTTTTTCGTTCTGCTATGCATCTGTGTATTTGGTTTTCTGGTTTTGATTGGTGATTAGTTTGGATTTTGTGCAGAATTTATAGTTGTTACCTCTTAGAAGCTTACTTGTGCATTTTGGAAGCAGAAGTCGTAGATGTGCTTTATGGTCTGTTTTATTCTCCTTTAAAAAATGTCTCTTTTTACTTTTAAAGAATCTGTTGAGGACATGATATATGAAAATTTAGACATAATATAAGGCTCTGAATGATGTTATCTTCTCAATAGCAAATTTACTTTGCTCCTAGCTGACAACTAGGCTAGAAACACTCACTATCTCGCATCACCTTTATCCAACTTACACTGATGTGGTTTCGAGCTGGACTTCAGTCCCTAGGTGGGCTGGTCTATACCTGGTTCTCATCTACTCTTATTTTTCAAGCCTCTAGAGTTCTCTGTTCTCTGACAGCCTCCAGAAACCAATGTTTGCTTTTCTAAACCCCAGGGTCTGTTGATAGCTAGGCTCATCTTAGTCCTTTTACCACTACTTTTAAATCAGCAATTGCTTCAGGAGGAAAAGTACCTCCTAAGCCCTGGGGTGATGCCTCTGGGCTTTCATGCTCTCTTAAATCTTGGCGCTACAATTCTTAAATGTCTTAGTAGTACACTGCTACCTTCCGACAGATTTTACAAACATTTTCAAGTATTTATAGTTGCTACCAAGAAGAGGATGGAGCCAAAATAATGCAATCCATCTTTCATGGAAGAATTCCTATTCTTAGGATTTTTAAAAATGCATATTGAGGGACTGGCCCAGTGGCGTAGTGGTTAAGTTTGTGTGCTCCACTTCAGAGGCCAGGGATTTGCAGGTTCGGATCCGGGCGTGGACCTACACACCACTCATCAACCATGCTGTGGTGGAATCCCATACACAAAATAGAGGAAGATAGGCACAGATGTTAGCTCAGGGCCAATCTTCTTTAAGCAAAAAGAAAAAAGAAAAATGCATATTGAAAATGTTGAATATGACATGATGAATTTTCATAATGTCAGCAACTTATTTGGATTTGGTTCAATGAAAGTGTATAGACGAAGATAGATGGATTTATGTAGCTGGATAGTTAGCTGAGTAGGTTCATAAAGCAAAGAGGGTAAAATGTTAACAATTGTTGACTTTAGGTGTTTCAAAAATTGTTACATAGAAATGTTTATTCATATCTTCTGTACGTATGCTTGTCATAAAAAAAGGTAATAGTTTCCTTTCAAGGCTTCCCCCTCAGAATTGAGGAGGAGAAACAAAACTTTTACCAGCAGTCTTCCTAACCAAGAGGTCAGTCATGTTAATAGGCAGCAAGTGTGAGTTACAAGTTCTTATTTTTTATATTCAATCCCATCAATCGTTGAGTTAGTATAAATTCCTTATAAATTCTGATACTATCTTAATTTTTTTAAAAAAGTTTTTAATTCCCAGTGTTTCTCATGATTTTAAAGTGTTGACCACTGTGTTTTATGGAATCATTTTATTGAGATATAATTCACATACCATATAATTCACTCATTTAAAATGTACAATTCAATGTTTTTTGGTATAATCCCAGAGTTGTACAATCATCACCACAATCAATTTTAGAGTGTTTATCACTTTTACCTGTCAGCTGCCACCCCCTCTACTTCAGCCCTAAGCAACCACTGATCTACCTTCTGTCTCTATATATTTGTCTATTCTGGGCTTGTCACATAAATGGAATCATATAATATATAGTCTTTTGTGACTGGATTTTTTCACTTAGCTTAGTGTTTCTGAGATTCATCCATGTTATAGTATGTAATAGAACTCATTCCTTTTTTTACGGCCAAACAATATTCTATTGTTTAGAAGATTGTTTCTACTTTTATCTGTTATGAATAATTCTGTGATGAACATTCATGTGCAATGTTTTTGTGGACATAAGTTTTCATTTTTCTTGGGTATACATCTAGGTGTGGATTGCCGAGTCAATGGTAACTCTATGATTAACTTTTCAAGAAAGTGCCAGATTGTTTTCCAAATTGAGTGCACCATTTTACATTCCCATCAGCAGTGCATGTGGGTTCCAATTTGTCCACATCCTTAACAACACTTGCTACTATCTAACTTTGATTATAGCCATCCTACTGGATGTGAAGCAGTATCTCATTGTGATTTTGATTTGCATTTACTTAGGTATTAATGATGTTAAGCATCTTTTCACATGCTTATTGGCCATTTGTACATCTTCTTTGGCGAAATGTCTCTTCAGATCCTTTGCTCATTTTTCAATCGGATTATTTTTCTTTTTCTTTTGAGTTGTAGGGGTTCTTTTTATATTCCAGATACAAGTACTTATCATATATAAGATTTGCAGCTATTTTCTCCCACTCTGTATGCTGTACTTTCATTTGCTGTATGGTGTCCTTTGAAGCGCAAAGGTTTTCAATTTTGATGAAGTTCAATTTATCTATTTTTTCTTTTCTTGCTTCTGCTTTTGATGTCATATCTAAGAATCCATTGCGAAATCCATGGTCTTGGTAATTTTAAGCCTTAATTTTCACGTGTGTTGGTAGTTATCTTTTCATAGATACTTAAAAACAAAAAACAATAAAAACTTCTGGCCAAAAAATATTTTAACTGGGAAATGCTACTGTGGGAGATGAAAATTTGGCCACCCTGAAATATGTCACTTTACCTTGATTATTTTCTCTGATGGACATTTGACCTCCCCGACCAACTGCCTGAAGGAATTTAACTCTGGGTATGGACAGACTGGCAGGGTCCTCACTAAGCCCATTCTTTTCAAAGTTCTGTTTACCAAATATTTACATTTGTAAAGGTATCTCCCTCTGTGTAGTGGGAAGCGGGGGGGATGACCTTATCC